CCCCAACATGCATCCATGAACACCAGTTGGCGGTAAAGAGACGAGGCAATCTGTCCCAAGTGACCATGCATATCCTGGACACCGGGCACGCCTTCGCTTCGGACAAAGCTCTCCCTGTCGTTGTCTGCCCTTTCAAATAAGGCCGAGCTTTCCTCGAGGCAAAGCCCTCGGATGAATCATGCATCAACTAGAATATCGAGTTGGATGCCGTGCACAGAAACCAAAGGGAGAAATGGAAGAGATGAGAACCAATCAAATCAGAATGACACACATGGCTGCCACCTACCGGCGTAAACGCCAAGCAATTATCGATTTTATGTGCACTCGTGGCGTTAGTTGTTTCTTGTTCTCAAGTTTTCTCTCCGTCTGCGTCTGAAGACGACCTGGTGAATCAGCGTCGAAAATTCACGCAACAAAACTTCTTCTTCCATAAAGCCTATCTCATTCTAACCTATATATATATATATATTCCGAAGGTTTCGGGCGGAACACTTGGGGATGTTATTCATGCACAATTCAAATGATAAATGCAATTATATACAGTAAACACAAATGATTGTCATCTGTAAAGCTTACGGAAACATTACGCCAAACGTGTAGGGGTGCGTCACAAGGAAATGAAGGCAGCAAGTAAAGCTCATGGTTGGACTTGTTTGTCCTGAATTGAGTCGTCGGCTATCAAAAATCAAATAACCTAAATGCCTTTGAATGCAACCACGGTTGATAAGTCCCTATTTCAATGAGAGTAAGTTTGGCAGTCGAAATACCCGTTAACTGAATGAAAACTTTCGTTAGTCTAGGCGCACGCATTCATGTTTGACCTTTTACGGTGACCGCGCGGGTGACTCTGAGAAATCCCCAGATTTGAGCTAACATTCATGCCTGTGAATAATGCAGAATGTTCACAAGAGATTGGACCTCATTCTTCTTTAAGATAACGAGACAAGTTCATCTTGATCAGTCGTTATGGAAATAACAACGCCCTAACACCGTCCACCAGTTTTGTCGCCCGACGTCGCACCTGCTCGATGGGGTCACTGTCTTTCTTCATCTAGGGAATCGATTTTAGCATTCCACATTCCAAATGCGGTCGTTACCTTTTGAACGGTCTTTTTGCAGTGTTCGGAGTTCACTTGAATGCACCTCCTCCCTGCAACCACAATCTAAGCCACTGGGACACCACCCCTCAGCAAATGCATCACACGTTGATTGGAGACCATTTAAGCTTGGCCCACGAGCCTACAAAAACGGCTGCCACCACGGTCCCAGATACTCTCAGGCATGACTGGACTCAGTCAACACCAGCCCTGGCTTCGTCAATGGCCACTGATGCTTGAGAGGACAATTCCGGGCTCTGTATGCATTAAACCCATCAATAGACCATGTCTGCGCACGCGTCACGCACGACCTGGCCCCCCAAACATAGACGCCAGGATTTCATACAACGGGGTTTGAGCGACGTATCTCTCACATGCGTGAGAGTGCCGTGGAAGGTGCTGTTTCGGCCCGGCTCACAGCTCACCAGTCCGCCACTCCAAACAACACATACAACTGGACGGACTGTGTGGACTGAGTTGGGGCGTCAGTCAGCAGCCTTCCAATCCGCGGCGCTTGACGCGTCGGGATAAACTCAGGCTCGAGTCATCCATGCGACAGGAGCCGCACGGAGCCGGAATCAAGACGCACACTTCCCACTTGCGGAGGAGGTGGCAGTCGGGTGCTTGTAGTGGGTGAGATTGATGTGTGGTGAGATGGTGATGAGGGAGAATGTCGTGGTGTGCTGCGGCCGGCGGTTGTCTACCACAGGTTTTCGTGGATGCGCATATGACCGAATAGGCCCATGCGGTGCATGAAAATGCGAGGGCAGTGTGAACAGCGGAGGCGGGTGCGACGAGTGCAGGTTGGTGCTTCAGACACTGGTACGCCAGTCTCCGTGCGATGGATTCACAAGTGACCGACAAGTTCGATGTGTGGGGTGAATGTGCGCGGACAGTGAGGGCACGAGAAGTCGACAGTGTCGGTTTCAGTTACGGAGATGATGGTGGTGGTGTTAGTAGTAGTAGTAGTAGTAGTGAGGATGATGATGATGATGATGGTGG